TTAGGAATGGCCGTGCATGTGTGTATGGGTAATAAAAATAAAATAATAAAAAAAGTTATGCTCTCTTGTTACTAAAAGCCGAACTAGTAAATTAGAAAAAGGAACAATGTATAAGGAAGTTGCTGTGGTGTGGTGCATAATCCATAAATATACATGTATATTCCCATAAAACCAACCATCATTGCTTAGAGGAAGAGTGGGGGAGTTAAATGAGAAAGTGGCCTAGGAAATTAAAAGAAGTGGGGACAAACGTAGACTTCTGATGACTTGGTGGAAAATATATACACGTTTCTTGAGGTTGCAAAACAAGGTGAAATATTTAAATTTTAAAACAAACTCAAGTTTTAAATTGGTAGGTTTTAAATATTTGAAATTAAGTCATTGTTTGATCCTTATTTTTTACAAAATGCATTTTTTTTTCTTCAACCACACATTTTTCAACAAAATTATACTATATGTAAATTCAAAATTCTTTCTTATTTTTTAACCACACATTCTCCATCAATCTACTAATCCAAAATGCATTCTATACAAAAAAAAATGGAACTGAAACAAGACATAAAATTTAAATAATTTTTATCCCTCTATATTAGTACTTGCAGGCAACAAAGCTTCGCAGAATAGGTGCTCTGACACTTGGAAGAGGAACAAATTTGTATTTTTTGCTTCGAGTATTATAGATCGTTGTTATGTAGCGGGAGGCAATTTGCTCTGTTCCAGTGAAGGGTTATGCTGATTTAAATTTTAAGAAGAATACAATTGTACTGTGTTGACGATTTTCGGTTTTCATTAATTTTAAAATACATTTTTCTCTCTCTTATTGCATTCACATATTTTTTAATAAAATAATATTACAAGAAAATTGAAAATTTTTCCTTATTTGTTTAAAAACATTCTCCATCAAATCAGTATTTCAAAATTAATTTTTTTTTTTTTTTGAAAAAATAAAATAAAATGAGACTAACATGCCATAAAACTAGTTCTTGTATGTGTGGCGTCCTTGGATTCACATGACATTTTCGCCTTTGCTTCCTCGGATTATAGACTTACTGGTCTTGAAACAAAAAACATGGTCATCTATGATGTTTGACTCTTGAGAAATGTGAGAAAATTGTTATTGTACCCAGTAGTTTTATTACTATTGCCATTGGTGTCTTTTACCGTCCTCAACACAAACACCCGTTAGTAAATATAAATTCTTTTATTTTATTTTTGACATTTTTACTTGCCCAATTAATTCTTCTATCTATAATAACAGCAAATAAATTAAAGATGCATGTGGGAAGACCGTAAACGCAACATCTGTGGACTGGAATACTGCCCATATTAGATGATAGTCTTGACCATAAGAGTTGACCTCTGAGTGGATAATGACTCCACACCCTTTCTTTGACGGGAGAGAAACAAACAACCACCGAATTGTTATAAAATCAAAACATAGGTTTTTTTAATTTGGCCAATAAGTGGTTGGAGGAAACATTAACGTTATCGTTGAGAATAAGGTTTAGTACCATATTAAATATGTCAGAAGAAGAAAAACTCGATAACCATCGTGCACATTATCACCTCGGTTAGGTCTACGCTAAAAGTGTCCGAATGATAAGAGTTTCCACACCAATAGAGATTCGCAAGCAATTCAAATTCTATATTTGACCTGTTCAAAGTGCCACTGAAATCAAAATCTTGAGTCTTGAGACCCCAGCCAATACGGGGGAGGGTCACATGCTCGCCTGTTCGTCCAAGGCCAGCAAAACCCTACAAAAAATCAATCGGTAAAAGTCCAAAAACACAGAAAAGTCCGTCTGTTCCCACGGGTTCCACTCCCAGCCTTAATCTAGTCCCGCCTCTATCCCGTGTTCTCTGTTTGTCGTCACTTGTTGCAAAATTTTCCAAACATAGGATTGGAATACAGTGCGGTCAAAGTGCCCCCTACAGCTTTCCCACTCTACGTTCCACTTAAAAAAAGTCTTAAACCCACCACAACTTCATAATTTCTTTCTTACTGTACTGTTGTCATATTTTCTCTAATAATTCCTTTAGCTCTCAAAAATGGCCTTCTTCAGGAGCCTAATTTCTACTCTACTGTTGATCGCCATTTCCTTGACCTTCACCTTTGCTCAGCCATTTCGGTGTACCTCCCCAGGCACCAAATGCGACGGTTTAGTAGACTATGTCTCTCCCAACCGCACCACTCTCTCCGCCATCAAGACCCTATTCCAAATCAAGAACCTTCGTTCAATTCTTGGCGCCAACAACCTCCCCCTCTCCACCCTGGCAAATACCACCGTTGCCGCCAAGCAGACGATCAAGATTCCTTTCCCTTGCATATGCAGAAACCACACCGGAATATCCAACAGGCGGCCAATTTACACGGTGGTCCTCGGAGACGGCCTCGACCACATAGCCACCGACGTGTTTGCCCGCCTCGTCACCTTCCCACAAATTCAGGAAGTAAATAATATAAGCAATCCCAACGTGATTTCAGTGGGCCAGAAGCTGTGGATTCCGCTGCCTTGCAGCTGCGACGATGTCGACGGTCAGAAGGTGGTGCACTATGGATATAAGGTGCCCGGCGGTAGCACGGTGGAGGGCATTGCTGAGCAGTTCAACACATCCCAGGACACACTGTTGAGGCTCAACAATTTGACTAGTCCCAAAGATCTCATGGCTGATGCTGTTCTAGATGTTCCACTTAGAGGTATATTCTCATTTTTTTTTTCGATTTCTTTTTCTGGTTTAGATAGATAATTAATTCTATGAGACAGTCGCATAATTTGTTAAGAGTTACGAATAAACTTGCAATACCGTGACACATATGGCACCGACAATTACAGGGAACATTTGACTGAATCCATCACATGTAACTTTATTAATTATTTGTAAATGTTTGAAGCTGCAATCTTATCTTATTGAACTACAAAATATTTAGTGGAAAATGGCAGAGAAGGTCCCTACATATTAAATTTGTGCAAATGGGTTGGCCTTTTACCTATGTAGGACGTTGGTGCCTATATAAAGAAAATGGAAAAGGAAAAAGAAAAAGGAAAAATATCAAAGTGCTGCAGACTTTTGAAAGTTTCAACAACTTTAGTGTATGTAGAAAATGAGAACCGTGAGGGCAGCTGGCTTTTGAATTGACTAATAACATTTGGTTGACTTGGAAAAAATTGTGCCTTAACCGTGGCAACTCGCACTGTTTGTCTTTTAAGCTTTGCTGGTCATACAACTCTGGACTTTAGAGTCTCGTTTAATGATTCTACAACTAATTATCTTGTGTTGGAATTCAAAATTACAAAAGCTTCTGAAGATGAATCAGAAACTCCTTTTTGACCAGAAAGAGTATATCAATACAATTATTCACTCTGGAAAATTCTTATTTCTAAATACATTTTTTAATATTAAGCCCCTATTTGATGCCCATTAAAAAGAGTTTATTTGGGGGAAAATGAGTTTTGGAATAATGATTTTTTTGGAGAATGTGTGGTTAATAAATATGAAAAAGTTTCGAGTTTACGTGCAAAATATTTTACTTTGAAAATGTGTGGTGAAAATGAGTTTTAGAAAAAAAGAAAAGTTTTGGAGAATGGTAGACAAATAGGGGCTAAAGAGGCTATGAAAATGTCCAACACTGGATGTTGGCACACCGGTTATATCATGTAGCTTCACCTGCTGCTGCAATGTAAGTGGTCATCATCAGACCCTTGACATGTAAATTTCTCCTTTAGGTTAGATGGGGAATTCACACTTTTGAATCCTGGAAACATCCATCTCATAGAATAGATGTCTCAAACACGTCTCTTCTTTGATTTTATATGTTTCTTTTTGAATCCTGAAAACACCCATGCCATTGATGTCTCAAACGCACGTCTCTTCTTTGTTTTTGTTTTTGAACTTTCATTTTGAAGACATCAAGTTACTTTTTCCACTGGGTAAATATATTGTTTTTTGTCTTTTTCAACAGCTTGTTCTTCTTCATTAATAAGTAATAGTTCACTGGACTACCCTCTACTTGTCCCCAATGGCACATATGTCTTCACTGCCAATAATTGCGTAAGGTGCAACTGTGATGCTGCAAATAATTGGATGTAAGTGTATATGAGATGGAACTATTTCTCCTTCTAATCCCTTTGCAGCTGTATATCTCATGAACCTGATTTTTTTCTTAATTTCTCCTTTCCTTTACTTCCGTCTCTTGGCTTATTCCTCAGGTTACAATGTGAACCATCCCTGATTAATTCGTCGTGTTCTCCTATCCGATGTGAAGGTCAAGAAAATTTTTATCTTGGAAACTCCTCATCCTCAGGTTGTAATCGCACAACATGTGCCTATGCTGGTTACAACCACCAAAACATTCTCACTGCTATTGATGTGCAGTCTACTTGCCAAGGTAGGTGTTAGTATTATCTTAGAGCTTTTTATGATATACCATTGTTTTTTCCAAGAATATATTGTTTACGAATAGTTGAAATTAATTTGATGCATCTCAAAACTGTGATATTGTATTTCCAAGTTATAGCAATGTTCTAATCCAAAAATTGTACCATTGGCTACAGCTCCTGATAACAACTCATCTGCGATCAGCTTGCGAGGTTTAAGATGGAACTTCCTTCTCATATCCATCCACATCATGTTGATCTGCCTTCCTTTTCTCAAATGAGATTAGTCAGTGTCTGTTAAGGAGTTTCTATTTTCTTAATACAGGAGGACAGCATGTGATTGTTATCTATATTTGGGCTTAATCCCTTTGAACAAGACAGATATGAAAAGTTCATTTTTTTGTGCAGGAGCCGATTTGTCTGCAATGTCTATGCGTTTTTCTCTTTTCAACTTCCTTTATGCCTTCTGAATTAGCATGTATGGATATGTTGTTGTTCCATCAGGAAACACATTGTTTGGCCAGTCTTAAAGGGGTTCCCTAGGATGGCTATTTAAAATACCACCTCAAGCATCTAGAGCAGAAGTAGCCATTTATTTTATTTGTTCTAGTATGGCGTATTTGCCTAGTTAAATTTTGATGCATGAAGAGTGGCAAGTCTGACAAACAGTCTCTCTGCCCATTAGAGTACTTCGAAAGGAAGGATGTTAAGGGAGATTTATGTTGTGTATTTAACAAGTAATCAGCCGATTTAGCATTTCTACCTGGGCAAAGAAGTTTTAATTTCCTCTTGTGCAGTCTAGTGTCATCAGTTCACATGGCATGATACTTTTCATTTCTTGTATTTCGGTACTTTCAGGATAAATCACTCTTTATTTACTTGTACATGGCATATTTATGGACAACTGGTTATTGATCTTTGAACTTCACAGCAAAGATTGGCTGAAGAGAGATAGATCTATGATAAAGCTTCTAGTTTGTACGTTCCCCAGTGCTATTAGCAGTGCCGTTACAGATATGGACTGCATGTTAATTGCGACATAAACACGTTTGAAATTAAAACATACAAAAACACGTTTGAAATTAAAACATACAATAACAAGTTTGAAATTAAACGTAGTCCAATGGTCCATATGGCTCGAACAACTCTCGAAGGAGACCCTTTTTCCGTCTAGGATTCCATCCCATATCCTTGCACAATTGATCAATATACCATATTTGCAATGCACCTAAACACGATCTCTCGTAGTATTCACCCAAGGATTGCTTCATGCTGTCATTCCATTGGGATACATTGCTCTCCATTTCCTTTAGGCTTGGTAGCTTGAATGTCCCAGAAAGAAGCTCAACTAACCAACGACATCTTATCTCCGAGGTGAACAGATCTGCAACACTTACTGACAAACCAACTAATGCTAATTGAGGAATCCGAGGATGAATACATTCCCTGATAATGTTCAGATCTTATTAGTATACTCGTAGATTAAAAGCATGCATAAATCAAATGTGAACAATGTTGTCAACATTCTGTCAGGGGTACCTGTATAGTGGAAGTCTAGTTTTCCCAGTTACGCAATCCTTAAAAGTTGGGGATGCTAATATGTTTTTGAGCTTGTCGACACCCCTAAACCCAGTAGCAAGTATCACCAGATCAGTCTTGAGAGGTTCAGCCTCACCATCAACCAAAATACCTTCACTGCAAAAGGTAAAACTTTGCGCTTTCTCAAGTTTGATGCTTCCTTCCTCAACCCTGTCAAAGAAGCCCTCTGGTACGGTCGCAATTGAACAAGAAGTCAATTCTTTCAAAAAACTGTGTTTTGGCACCATACCGTGCTGTGCAAGCCTTAGCTTTCTTTTAATGTGACTTTCAACAAATTTCGAAATTCCCCATCTCTGTCAAAGTATTCGCAAAATTTTACCTTATTAGAATTCTTCTAATTATGGATAACAGTGCTTGATTCTCAGCATGCTGTGTTATAGAATGAATCCATTACAAGAATACTAATAGTAATAGACGGGTTTAGGTTCAAGTTTCCTGACATTACCAAAGGCGAGAAAATTGTTGCCAGGAGGCTTAAAAGAAGCCCTTCAGCAGGCTTATGAATCAAGAGCTCTGAGAATCGACTCTGATATAGATAGCCGAGAGGAACTCCCCACGGGATGTAATCAGGTATATTCCAGTGCTCAGTCCTGTATAAAAGAGTACATGGGTGTTCGATGCCTGCAACGAAACAAATATAAGAAAAGAATTTCGAGCAGATAAGAAAAGAGTGCAATTTGCACATTGTAGTTATTATACCATTGGCTGTTGAGATTTCCATTGAAATGTCCATTCCAGATTTCTGGAATCCAACAACGGTAACTTGCTTTCCTTGGATAAATTTATGGGCAGTTGCATGATCCATGTTAGAATATTCCATCGAATGTATCACCTTTCCTGGAAAGGCTTCGGGGCCCTTATTTGCTGGAAAATTTGGAAATTTTGGTACATCGCTATACCTCCCCAAGCAAAGAATGACAAAATCCACTTGGTAAGTCTGCATTTGATTGTTATCAGCAAAGCACAGTGTAATTCATCATTTTTAGTCATTTATGTTGGGTTCAAATTATATATTTAGCAAAATGGCAATTTCCTTAGTCAAAGGACAAAATCTTAATTTAGTTGAATTGTAATCAAAGTCAAAGTAGGAATAACTGGGTAGTTTGGGACTGATAGAGTCCAAAAAGAAATCAAAGAAATACAAGATGAGGATCAAGATTCGGACTTCAAGAAGTAGAGTAAGAAACGGACTCAGTACCTCTCGTTGGCCGCTTTGTTTACGCTCGAGCAGTGCGAGCGACGATGTTCGGAAGAATCTTGATTCGATTTTAATGCTGATTTTGAATCATTTTTCACCCCCAACACTACCCATTATAAATATACAACCATAGGTCTGTCTCAAAGTGAGTTAAATTATTATATTACTTCAGAGATCATATTATTAAAGATCCAAAAACACATTCATTCATTGATTCTTAGATTCAACACAAGATTAAATTGTTCTATGTTCATCCCATATATTGATCAAACACCAAAACAAAATCATATATTTGCCAATTACTTTTTAGAGTTCTAGAGTCTTAGGAAGGGTGCTCGGAGTTCCGACGCTTAAGGGATATTCGTTTTTGTTGATCCACACAAAGAGAAAAGTAGTCCAGAGTTACTGGTACAACTTCCACGATGATTTACAAGTTAGGTGACCAAAATAACATTTAGCAATATTTGGACTAAGTGTAAGTTAACTTTTCTAGTGGATTGGACCGACAAGTTTGCGCGGAAGTTTTTTTATCTAGCTAAGAATTTTCCTCTATGATCATATTTGATGTTGTTTATTTATTGATATACTTGTGATTGTTTAAACAGAGGAATTAATTACCTTAATCATCTAGAAATAATCAATAAGCGTTTTGTTGCTTTTAATTGATTTAATTCCAGATCTAAACTATTTGGCTAATTTAAACTTTCGATTTACATGTGTTCAAACAAGGTAAATGTTTTAATACAGAATTGGAATACTTTTTAACTTTACCTCTGTTGTACGGCTTGAAGTGTTCTCCACTGTGACATTCCACTTTCCTTTTGGGGCAAAGGGCTCGCCCGTCTCACTCCAAAATGCCCACGCTTCCATTTCTGCATCGGATGGCCCTTCATAGCTGAGGCTAACAACTTTACTGTTGAACCTAATATTTTTGAACAAGTTAAAGTGATGCGCGTAAGCTTGGAGATAGTCAAGAACTTGATTTTGGGTTGGAAAATCTTCTGTAACTTGAGGTGGCCACGGAAAGTCCGAGAATTGATAAAGAGATTTGGGAGTTTGCAGTTTGGTGGATTGTATAGTTTTGGTCCATACCCCTCCAATGCTGTCCCGGGACTCAAACACAACGGGATCGAATCCCTTGGACAAGGTGTACTTACAGGCCAGGAGGCCACTAATCCCAGCTCCAACGATGGCAACCTGCTTTGCCATTATTCATTAAAGGCTTCGACCTTTCAGTATTAGTGAGGATGGTATTGAATTATATAATGAAGCAATTTTACTACAGTGACTGGCACACTTGGCAGCTCAGCTGAGAGTCCAGCAGATCTTGGACTCCTCAGCTGGACTTTAGTTGGATTTCTCATTCAATCTTATTGTTTTGTAATTGGTTCGTGACCAAAAATGTCAAGTGGATAAGATAAAAAGCGTGAAAAAGAAACGATGACACCCCATTAATTTTCGTTATTTCACATTTTGGTTCATTACTCAACCCAATTTGGTGGACACAATTGTATCCAATATCATTTCAAGTGTCGGAAAATCCAAAA